TATTCCCAGGGGTTGTTCAAAGTTTGAATGATTCACACACATCTGTGGGTGGGCAACTGCAGTCGGTGCATGGTGGGCCAATTGTGTCACTGTTTCTCTGTGTCATGATAGATCTCAATTGAGCGGTGGCGGCCAGCCTGAGGGCCAGCGCGCAACAGCGCTCGCCGCCGCATGGCTCCCCATGCGCTGGGGGCCCACCCTCCGGGAGCCAGCAGGCAGGAAGCTAGCCAGCCAGAAGGCTGGCGCTCCCCACCCGCAGCTCCCTGTGCGCCAGAAGCCCTCCTTCCGGGGAACCACGAGGCCCTGGAGGTTAATTTCTTTCAGGACTTGAAATATGTCACTCCAGCTCTTCTTAATTTGAGGGTTTGTGCTGAGAAGTCTTCTGTGATTTTGATGGACTTTCCTTTATAGGTGATCTGTTTCTTTTCTCTAACAGCTTTTAATATTCTGTTCTTGTGCTGAATTTCTGGAATCTTGATTGTTATATGTGTGGGTGTAGATTTATGTTGGTTATGGCTACTTGGAGTTCTGTATGCTTCACTTACTGTATGTCAGATTCTTTTCCCATGCTTAGGAAATTTTCTGTTATTACTTCTGCAAATAGTTTTTTTTATGTCATTTGTGTTGATTCCTGCTTTTTCATTGACAGCAGTCTTATTTTTGTTTGCATCATCTTGCAGCTGTTGTATTGTTATCTCCTGATACTTTGTTATTTTTAAGAGATCTTTCCTTTCATGATCATTAGCCAGGATCCTGTCTTTAAGGTCTGAAAGTCTGTCTTCAGTTTCATTCAAGCAGTTTTGCCAACTTTCAATTGAATTTTTAATTTCCTGGATATGTCTTTGAATCCATTTCATGTGTTCTATTTCTTTCTGTTTTGGTCATTGATGGTTTCCATCCTTTTCCTATCATCATCTATGTTTTTTCTATCTCTACACTAGATTCAATGAGCAATTCCTTTATGAATGTTGACATTTGTTTTTTATCTGAAAGATTATTATTATTTTTTTTTTCTGGTACTGGGAATCAAACTCACGTCTCGCTTGTGAAAGATTATTTCTGATCTGATTTCCTTTATAGGCTCATGGATTTGTTTCTTTACTTTGGTTGCTATCATTTCAGAAATTTCAGGTGTATGTCTTCCATTTTCCTCTTTTTTGGACTCCTGGACTTGTTCTGGGTGGGTTTGAAGTCTGAGGTTGCATTTTGCTTCTATGTCTTGTCATTTCCTATTTCAAAAAAAATTATATTATGTTTTTTGTGTTGATCCTTGTAAGTTTTTGTAGTAGGTAGCTACATCATTAGTATCGAGGCCTCTTTAGAAAAAATCGGTTCCTCAGGGATGTCTTCTGCGTGTAGGAGGTTCTTGGTCTGTGTCTCTTTCAAGATTCTACCTTCCCAATTAATTAAGAGTGGGATGTTGGTATCTGTTTGAAAGAGATGTTTTATTATCCTATCCAAGGCATGGCCATTTCCCCGTGCTCTCAGATCCATGCTTTTTCACCTCTGTTGGGGTCTTTCTAATCCATTATGTAACCACCTCTCCCATCTGTCTTCATTGTTTCCCTCCCTCCAGCTGTATCTTCTCAGTAAGGAAGATGTACACACACACACACACACACACACACACACACACACACACACACTAGCCTGGCCTGGACTTAGAGACCCTGTAATTATTTCCTGTCCTCAGTCTGTTCCTTTATACCCCAGGAACTTTTCTCTGGACCCTCAGCTCCCATTGCCTCCTCAGCTCCTGCAAGGACCTCCTCTCCCCACCATGGCATTAAAGCTGCTTTGGAAAGGTTCCTGTGTCTTTCTGATCATAACATTCTAAGTACTATTTTCACTGTCTCTCATTTGACATCTCTGCGGGGTCCTCCTTTGACTGCCCCCACCTAGTTGCCTTCCATCTTACTGATGCTCCATCTCCTTTGCAAGTTCTTCACCTCCATAAATATATTGTTTTCTAGGACACATCTTTGTCTACCTTCTCATTTAGTTGTCGTCCTTGGGGAAACATCATCTCCAGTTATGGATTCAAATCCTGCCCCTGATGTGCCCCAGCAGATCTATCCCAGGCTTTTCTTTTAACTTCCAACTTAGTGCACGAGATGATGAAATATACAGTGAGTGTTTAAATTTAAAAATGCATTACAGTAACAGACACATTGCTGTTAATCCCCTTCAAAATACTCCCTCTTACTTCCAACACGTCTATTCTGTCATTCTTGATACTTTCTAAAGCCGTTCTAAAAGTCCTCTTTCATCTTTCACAAGCTGTGAGGAAAAACATACAGTGACTGCCGCTGCTGAACACCATTCAATGAAAAGGAAGGTTTGTTAAAAACATTATGGTGTGTCCTCATCCACCTTGTACACTGAGTCTGGCTGTTCTCCAAAGTCAAAATGACCATGAAAGGTAAACAGTTTGAATGGATTTAGAACACTAAGGCAGCCAGTACAACACAAAACATGAAAAAGACTTCCACAGCTGTTTCAGAAAGTAGTAGAATGATAAGATAAATGTGTTCAAAGTTAGGGGGAATATTTTGAGGGGGATGTCTTTTACTGTAATAATTTTTTTTTAAATTTAAACACATGGTTTTTTTGGTCATACCTCATATAACTGATGGACACCTTTTATTCATGTTCCACAGGTGGGAATGCATATTCAACATGACCAAAACCAATTTCATCTTCCCTTTAAAGTTCTCCCATCTGTATTTGTAATCTCAGTGAATTGTAATAAATATCCCTCCAGCAGAAATCTGGGGTTTAACCTCTGTCTCCAACTTCTGTTGGTTTTTGCATCTGAGTATTTTGGAAAGAGTTCCCATCTTTTCCATTCTTCTGTCACTGCTTTGGTTTGAACCACCAAATATCGCTGGCCTCTCACACTATTCTTCTACCCACCATTTGCTCTTCGTCCCATCCATCTTCTGTGCTACCACATACTTTATCTTGCTTAAATGGCTTCACACTGCTTGCAAAATAAAATCAACTACCTTGGTAGAGCAGACAAGGGCTCTTGCCCCTTGGCCACTGCTTTCCTTTCTTGTCTCCTAAAGCTGCCTTCCAGGATTGTCTTCCTCTTCCTCATTCTCACACATACTCCATACTCAGGCCTCCACCAGTGCTTCACACCTTTACTTGGAAATATTCTTCAATGTAATCTATTGACACCTAGTTAGCATTTAGATTTAAAATGTGTGCCCTTTTCCAAATTCTTAAATATTCAGAGGCTGGGCGTTTGGAAAGTGATTGGATCATGAGGACTCTAATTTTGTCAGTGGATTAGTTTACCAATGGACTTATACTTTGGAGGCATTATTGGAAAATGATAAAAACTTTGAAGGGGTGGATCATGGGTGTGACCTTGATAATTATATTTGCCACTGGCCCCTTCCTTTTGGGCTCTTTCCTTTTCTCTCTACTTCCTGGATGCCAAGAGGTGAGCAATTTTTCTCCACCATGCCCTTTTGCCATGATCTTTCTGCCTTGCCACAGAACTTAAAGCAATGGAGCCAGCTGACCATGGACTGAAACCTCTGAAACCATAAGCACAAATATATCTTTCATCTTTTAAATTGTTTTTTTGAGTGTTTTGTCACAGTGATGAAAATCTCACTAACACAGCTAGCTGATTATCTGAGCTTTTTTGTGATTTCCCTGTACCTTGCCCTCCACAGAGAGTAACTCTCCTTCTTGGAGCTTTCTGAAAACATACAGTAATTGAGACAGTAATTAATGCTATTCAACCATCAATGGCTGTGGCTCTTCCTCATTCTGGGCTCATATAGAATTGTACATCTTGGCCCCACAGAAGTTAGGTGTGGCTGTGTAACATGCCCTGGCTGATGAAATATAAGTGGAAGTAGCATGTGTGAGTTCCAGGTCAGAGAATTTAATTGCCAGTGCAAGGGCCTCCACAATTCTTTCTTTCAGTTATAACAGTTGACATTCCAGATGGTAGCAGTGTCCTGAATTAGACCTACAGTGGATCTCTGAAAAAAATATATGTACTGTGAACAAGAAACACATCTTTTTTATTTAAATCTATAAAATTTAGGCTTACTTGTTTTTAAAATACAATCTCACCTATCCTGATAGTTCTCTCCAGTGGTTGGTTACTTTAGAACCCTTCTGCTAGATTTGCAATTGCTGAACAAGCATCTTTAAAAATTCTTATGACATTTGCATGTAGCAGAACACAAAGACACATAATAGGCACTCAGTAATCGTCTGGGGAGAAATGAAGGGTCATGTGTACTTTCTTTAGCTTGTCAATAATTTGTCTTCCATGTAAAATCATGCTGATTGTTGGAGGGTAATAAAAATACATTTTTTCTAACTACTAAATATGTTCCTTTATTGCTTGCCATTAATCCATGTCTTTGATATATATAAATGTATGATGTTCATTTCAGTTATTTGAAAATTTATTTCATTTCTATCCACTGGATTCTTTGTTGTGTTTTACCCTGAAACTTTGATATCCTTTTATCTATTCCTGATTCCAGCACAAGAGTCATATCTTTTAACCTACACATCTTAAAACAGGGGTTAGTAACTTGAGTGTTAATCTATACTGAATGGCGTTAAATAGAATAACAGGCGATTGACTGTATCATCAAAGCAAGAAGGGTAGAATTGCTTGTGGAAGGGAAAACAAACGGCCAAGCTGTAGATGAGAGGCAACACCGCAGGTTGGACAGAGCATAGCTTTTGTAGTTAGGAAAGTTTGGGTTTAATCTGGTTTTGCTCTTTACAATGCCAGTGGGTCTCCATACACCTGAGATCTCTTATCTATAAACATGAATAGTAAAATAGCTGATCCCACAGAAATAGAGAGTAGAATAATGGTTATCAGAGCCCGGGCATAGTGGGCAACTTTGTCAACATGTCCACCGTTATAGTCAGATACTAGGAATAAGTTCTCATGCTCTGTTGCACAGTAAGGTGCCTATAGCTAACCATAGCGTATTGTATTCTTAAAAATATGTAGAAGAAAGGATTTTGCACATTTTACCCTAAAGACATGAAACCTGTGTGAGGTGCTAGATATGCTAATTGCTTTAATTTGATCATCATAAAACATACATGTATTAAAATATCACATTGTAGCCCATGAATATGTATAATTATTTTGTGTCAATTGAAAGTAAAAATTAAGAAAAGAAATGTCACAGAGAAATACCAACAAGATCTTTTATGTGGAAGCTCTTTGTAAATTTGAAGTAATTGCCTAAACATTTTTTTAACCTGATGAGAACAGCAGGAGGGCTGCGCTCTGAGAAGAGAGAAGGATGTGGGAACTCAGCGCAGTGCATCTTTGAGTCTGAGACTCAGTCACTGGGCTTGGGCGACAGCGGTTTGGCCCATAGGTCGTCAGAGAGCATATGTGCCCCACTTCCCTAGGAGGCTTTGCATGGAAGTCAGGCTAGCTTCTGTCTTGTAGCTGAGTGTTTTTTTTTTTTAAACTTTTTCCCCCTGATCAGATGGGTCATTATTGCTATAAATAATCTTGGAACTTTGGATTTATATCTAATTACTTATTTGATACCTGTCACACGCTTTCCTCACTGTCTGATATATTGCCCCCATTCTCATTTCTATTTCTCTTGTGCAGTTTCCTGGACATTTTCTGTAATGGTTTGTCTAAAATGATGTTTGGAATGATACCACACCTCTAAAGGAGACCCCTGGGAGTCTCTTGGAAGGAGCAGAGCCCTTCCATAGGAGACAGACAGATGGAGGTCAAGACGTTAGCTTTGCCTCTGATAAAGTGATTAGAGAACATGGCTTAGATGCTCCCCAAGTAGGCGGCTTCACCCATGCACACAGGCAGGCCTGGGCAGCAGGAGGCCAGCTTGCCAAGGACGGCCCTGTGTTCTTTAATTTAGCCAGTCACCGAACAGTTTTCTGTAACTGGTGAGCAGATTTGCAAATAGGGGAGATCTTCAAGTTTGAGACTAAGAATGCTCAGTTCCTTACTCGTTTCCCCTCAGGCCAGGTGTGTGTCGATAAAGCAGAGGGCCCTTCACAGAGCGATGTAGCTAAAGGAATGGGAACACAGATCTTGGCTTGAGTTTGACCAGTCAGCCTCCAAGCATGGAGGAGCAGTGCTAAGTACTGGCACTCGCACCTGCCTTTCCTCTGGCGGCTTCCCCCATCCCTAACGGGGAGGGCCTCTCCCTCTTGGCTTCCCCCGCTTCCACCTGGCTTGGCCATCATCGATCACCTTGGCCATCCTCAGCCTTGGCTGCATGCTCAAATCAGCTGGGGAGCATTCCAGTGCTCAGGCCCCGCCCCTGAAGATCCAGCTTCAATTGGTCTGGGATGGAGCCTGGCATTAGGAGTTTTAAAAGCTCCCCAGGTGATTCTAAATCGCAGCCAAGGTCATGGGCCACTGATCTAATAGTTTTGGTCTCATCAACCCTTCTTGCCTTCATCTGGCCAGATGTGCAGTGCAGATAATGCCATCTGTGAAGCTGTTGGAATTCAGGCAGCCTCTGATAGTGATATCAGCAATGGTGCAGTGACTTCTTCCCAGATTAAAGCCACAAAGGTAGCCTTAGAGGTCTTGTTTTTCTTCTCAACTTGCCCTTCTCCACATGAAAAGTGTGTTTTTTAAAAAAAGTATTTGGCCTCTTGGTGCTCAGCTATTCATTTTCTTGAAATAGAATGAAAGAAGATTTCTTTCTTTTTACAGAAATGCTCTTGATCTGACTTTCCCCTCAGCCCATCTGCAGCCAGTCATTATGAAAATCCAGTAAAAGACATTCCCTGACATAAGCTCGATGCATTCATCTCCCTTAATATCACCCATAATCTCATGCCCAGGTATTGAACCAGGCTTCTGATGGCCACGTGGCCAGGCAAAATGAAATCCATGGCCCCAGCACTTAAAAGGAGTGGACCTGATGATACGGTAGAACCATTTAAAATACATTTTTCTCCGCACCTCACCTGAATTTCTCTCAGCTGAAGTGTATCCACCTGACTCAGGCCCATTCAGATGCAGCCGTCAGTGAGTCTTAATCACCGTGGTGGCTTAGGGACGGCAGCTGCTCTGGCACATATGTGTCTCTGATAACAGAACCCATTTAACTGCTCCTAATCCACAGGGGTATGATTATGTTGGGGTAATAACTCCTGAGAATGGCTTTGCCACAGTTACAACATGCTGAGAGGGAGCAAAATATGAACTCTGCATGAATTAGTCTGCCAGGTACAACATTTGCTATTGGGCAATTCTACCATACCTGTAACAAAAGTGTAGCATGCCACACCCCATCCTGGTGTCTAAATGCATGACTAGATGGGAGGCAAGTTTGTCATTCTTTAATGTGCATGAATTTTGCTTTTGAAAATATGCCTATAGCTTTATAAAACCCCAACATATTTCAGAGACTAAAATGATCTTTTGTTTCATTTTTTAAAAAGCAAGTCTTTAATTCATGCTCCAATACTATTCCACTGATAAGACACCAGTTCTTAAAATGAATAAAGTGCTCGTACCTGTGTTTCTTTTGGTCCCTGGCTCAGCTTTGAAACTGTTTATGTCACCCCAAGAAAGTCTGACATTTTGTTAATTGCTCCAGCGAAATCATTGCTGTAGTGGAAGCAACTGACTGAAGATTGTACCATAAAGTCCTTACCTGGTAGTAATTGCTATGATTTGTGCTTAGATGTCCTCCCCACCCCCTGCCAAAGCCTCATGTAGTCATAGGTATAGCTTTTTTCAGAGGAGGTTGGACCTAGAGTCTGTGATGCTGGAATTGATTCGTAATGCAATGCTAGGATCAAGGGAACCAGGGTTAAGAGTGTGAGTGTTACTCACCCTAGGTAGCCTGGATAAGATATAAGGGATAGAAAAAGCTGTGGTTGTCCCTTTTTGCTTTGCTACCTTCTGCCCACCATGAACTATTTCTCCTCTGTGATGCCTGTCTGCCATGCCACCCTGCTCTGGAGTCAGCCAATTATGGACTGAAACCTCTATAAACTGTGAACTAAATAAACCTTTCCTCCTTTGGCTTTGGGTGATGGGTATTTTGTCTCAGCACTGAGAAAAGTGCTAAGACACTAATCTTCAGTCAGCTACACAAAGTGTAGTTGCATATCTCTGCCTTAAACCTCAGCAGTCAGCCTCAAGGCAGTATCAATCACATAACCCAAAGATTAGAACAAAGCATGTGACCTGCTCAACCTAGATCATTAAACAGGCTTGACTTGATTATTTTCCCTTCCAAAGATCAAAGACTAGGGTTTATGTATCATGACATTGAAATGTGAAATAAAGAAACAGTAATTCAAGTTACATGGGCACATAAGAACAAGTGGTTGTGAAGTATGGTTATTTTTAAGATAGATGATGTGGCTTGACGATGTTGCTCAGTCGGGGAGTATGTGCACACCTGAGGCAGTGGGCTCAGTACCCTAGCACAGCGCAAACACACACACACACACACAGATGGAGAAATTGAAGGCTAATCTTACACTGCCTTCATCTTTTGGAAACCTTTTTGCATATTTTGAGTAGGCAAGATTTGGCAAAGGAAAGAGTATGATTCTTTATATGCCTCTGAGTTTGAATCAGGTCTGCTACGTATTGGCTTTTGTGACTTCCGGAACAAATCCCAACCTCTTTCCAGTATTGCAACTGTTTCCAGTTCTCATGTTTGTCCAAGACTTCCTCCTCCTGACATGGC